GAGCTAACAAACAATTTTTTTAGGAGAGTTCATTGATTCTACGCATCAACTTTGATAATAAAATAACATACTTGTCACATATTTTTATAAACCTAAAGGAGAGAGAGTATTATTAAAGGTGCTTTTTAAAACACTGGTGATGACAGCAGTCTAAAAACTGCACACAGATACTATATAAGCTGACACCATGTGCCTGGTGCAGCCTTTTCATCACTGTGTGGTCAACCTGCTTCCTTTGTCCTTCGTCCTCCATTTTCACCTCTGTGCCTCTCAGTTTAAAGACATCAGGGTCAGACAGGTATCACAAGCAGACATCCACTTACAGCGCACAAGCACAATTTGGTAAAATGCAAGCAACCATTGGCATAAGTTCAGTTATTAATGTATACCAGTTTACACTGTTGCCCTTTATCATGTTAACTGACTACAACAAATAGCTCTCTCTGTTTAAATGATCATTGTAATTACCCTCTGCATCAAATAGCCAACTAGAAAACCATCCGTTCATCAAATTATCATCATCACGCATGGCTGGCTAGCAAGAGATATCAAAATCCTGCGCATTGCCACTCTATCGGTGAGGTGAGGTGTGGGGAGGTACAGTTCCAGGACTAGTAATGACTTAGGGGGGGTCAGAAGGATATCAGGAGCTGGCATGATAAGTGATGACACCCTCATGGGAACAAGCTTAATGACTTTCGCTGTGGCTGGCTCGGCCTGGCAATTTTACTGCAGTGAAAAAGAAAGGTCCAGGAAACATCCAGTCTGCTCAAACCACCAGAGCCCTTTCTTTGGTATTCTCGCATTTTTGTGCCTTGCAGTAGAGGTGAAGTCTCATGGCCATAAAGCAATATTTTCCACTCTCTCTAAAATATGACACGTACACACAGAAGTATACGCACACAAGCACACACAGCATTGCTGCTACAAAAATATCTTTATCAGAGTGGGATTTATATAAAGGCAACTCAACTGAATTATAATTCAAAGTAATTCAGAGTAAAGAATTAAATGCTTTTTTAACCAAAGTTTTACTCTGTGTTCTTGTTAAACATTACCTAATATTGTATTTTAGTGTTTACCAAACCATGTTCGATCTCATATTTCCACCGTATTTTACTGCCCATTACAATTACTTGTTTTTTTTAATAATGTAAATTTGTTCTTACTTAAAAAGTGAAAGTTCCTTAAAGTTTATGAGTTTATGAGACAGGGCAACATTCTCTTGTAGCTAGAATACACGGATGACAACAAAAGAAATACATTTCCTGTATGCGACATCGCAATGCATTGAGCCAATATTGATCAATCTTTTCTTGGGTTGTTGTGTTTTCCAGCTGACAAGTTATTTGTCGTCCTAAACTACATTCATCTGCCTTCAAAATACAGACTAATAACAAAAAAATGGAGACTTGAAGGGGGATCAAAGATCTGTTTCTCTGATGTTCTTTAGTGTGGAGACAAGTGGGAAGTGGAGCAAACTTAGGGTGTGGAGGGTTTAAAAGGAACCTGAAGTACCATGACAACAACCTGGACACCAGATAAAAAATATAACACCACAGAAACAGAATTTTTTTGCTGTCCTATTTATATAAATGATCATTATTTTCTCTGCAATGTCCTAAAGAGAACTTAAACAGTCCTGCTTACTAGTTGCTCAACAGCTTACATCTCACAGAGGGTCCCATTTCATAGAGTCAATAAAGCAAGGGTGGCATCCACGTGTGTTTTCACTTCTAAGCATTTCTAGCTACCCTTGCTGGCCCACAACCCATCTGGGCATTTAACGGTTGGCAAATACAAATACACAGGGAATACAGTGGAGACAGAGGCATACTTAAAAGACATGTCACATATCCTATCAGATGCCTGAAGGTCAACAGAAATGACATGCTGAGCTGTCAGTCAGCTGCCTATCATTGTGTGTGTGAGCGTGTGCCCGGGAAAAAAGTGGAGCCACAGATAGCATTTAATTGAAGGTTGAAGTTATCAGATAGCCTGCGACTCAGCTGTCAGTCAAGATGCAGTCTCCACAGTGACGCTTCACAGCGCTCTGCACCACTGACGACACCAGGAAATGGCTGACTTTGATGAACGGTGAGGGAGCAAGCAGGGAGTCACGGCGGCAGACAGGATGATAGAGACACAGGCCGTCAGACAAGCACATTCACAGACAGATGTGGGGCTCACAGGCAAGTACACATGAGCCAGAGAAGGGACACACTTAAGGGAATTAGAGTAGAGGTGTGCTGGCAAGGCAAGTTATTTTGGTAGAATTGACATGCTGCACGGCATCCAGGCACCAGGACAATCTAATTATCTACTGGTGAAACCAGAGCAGGGGACTCTTAGGTGAGACAGAGAAAGCCCCATCGAGCAAGTGCGACCTCAGCCTGAGGATATGGTGAGAATCTCATTTGTAATTGAAAGTGAAAACTGTGAGAAATGCAAGTAGATGGCAGAATCCCAAAATGACAAGTGTGGAAAGAGGGAAAAGACGACGTAACGGCACAAATGACAACAAATCTGCTATAGCTGGCGAGTTGAAGTCAAAAACACAAAACAGAGACCTGGAACGCTGTTTACTGCTGTCTTGGGGGAACCGAGAATTGCGTCAGTGAGACACGCATGCACATGTATTTATTTTATGAGGGGGATGTGGGAAATTAGACGGTAATGTGAGGGGGGAAGATATTCCCCTGTCTAATAATCATCATTACTGTTTCCTCTCCTTTTAGCAAAGGGTAGATGGGGATAGGAAGTGACATTTTTCTTCCCTTCCTTCATTTCTTTCATCTCTCCCTTTCCATGCTGATCCTAAATCATCTGCCCTTGTACTCCACTATCAAATGATTCCACTCTTTATCCTGCTTGAAGACACAAAATGGATTTACTAGTTACTGGAGCTCGCTCTATGTTTGAACAACAATTATCAACCTACACAGTAAGATGCGTTCAGTCCTGGGTTTAAGTCACTAAACACATAACAGTACATCATCTACTGTTGATGATGTACTGTTGTCTGTTCAAATAATGGATCCCCACATCTCATTCCCTCCTCACCTACTAAAAATTACAAATGGTGGGAGCAGCAGAGAAAAAAAAGGGAAATTGGACAATATGATTTTCTGCACAACTTATTACATGTTACACTGTTAGAATTCAAATACTTAAGAGTTTAACATAAACAAACATCAAATTTGTATACAGTAAATAACAAAGCTATCTGGAATTTTCCTCTGCAGATGTAACGACTACACTTCCAAGTCATTTTAAATCAACATGTGTGTTTTCCTGTAATTTTACTTCCTTGTGCTGGAAGAATGTTAGTGTTGGTATAAATCTGCCTACTAAGGTCATCAGTGACCTGTCTCAGCCACCAGGTGGAAGCCTAATTGGTATAGTTGGACTTCCCAGCAACTCGTAAACACAAGTGTGAGTTACAGCCCTGCTGTGTCCAGAGCAGCATAGCCCACATGCAAGGGTCATCTGAGGATGTCCCACATTCATTCCATGTCATTCCTGGAATATCCTTAAAGCCACAGGTGGTAGACAGTAATTCACACATTTCCACACACCTTCTCCATATCATATATTATATATATCACTTACAGGGTTAACACAAAACACATAGACACATGTAAAATCTGTTTGTGTGCGTGTCATCATATATGCTGGCTTTTATTGTTTCATGAAAATATCCGCAGCCAAAATGTCAGGTGAAAAAAATGCCAATTAATAAGTGTTTATAAATAGCATTTTAAATAACCTGACATTATGTGACCTATTGAATATGTTGCCAAGACAACCTAAACTTAAAAAATATATATATATATATATATATATACACACATATATACACACCAACACACCTGGTCCTACAGAAAGATGATTTAATTTAAAGAAAAAAGTATCAATCATGCTCCTACAACTTAAATAAAACTTATAGACCAAGGAAATTGTGAACAACCACGAATGATCCATCACCCACAGAAGGTCAGTGCTACCACATTTACATTTTCAGAGTAAAAGATGTTTATGTGTTCATTACTTACAGTATTATAAGTAGACATAATATATTCATGATGGTAGGTATGGGTGGGTTAAACTCAACTTTTACTTTAGCTTTAAATGACTGGGACTTCTGTTAAGATGTCAAGGATGATAAGAATTATTGAAGGAAAAAACTGTTATGCAACTAGCTCGTAAAAGAAACAAACAGCAAATGTGAGTCTCACAGCTAATTTGGGAACTGTCCAAGGGCCTGAGGTCCTGTCACTAGAGATGAAAGGTGAAAGATGGGATTTGGTCGGCTGATTTAGCCGGTGAGCTCAGAGGCTGGGTCTGGTCTGAGGGTCAGCTATAGCTAAGTTGATCCCAGCCGGTCTCTGGTGCCCTTTATCAATTCTGTCAGGGGGAAAATGCAATCCATGCCTGGCTGGGCCTTGCTCTGCTCTACGGTGTCTCTTATCCTCCGTCACCTCCTTCCATTCATTTCCTCACTGCAAGCTGCCGGGATTACAAAGAGAAGCGTTCCTTCTCAAGACGTGACGCAACCATTCATGTGTGTGCCAGAGAGTAACTGTGAGGACAGGAAGGTGGCTGACTGGCTGTGGTCAAAGCCTGACAGACTATATGCCCGCTCACAGGCATAGTGTTATTTGGCCACAACGTTGCAGTTGTCACTCCCCACCCCTCCTACTCATGGAAGGTGGCTCCCTACAACTTCTTCCTTTTCCCTACGGTGAACATTCAGCAAACATCACAGTTGGTACTTGAAGTAATGCACAGCAGGACCTCCAGGGAGTGTTCAAAGTGTGGCAGGATGAATGGATGGCAGCTAAACCTAAATCATGTTCAGTTTCTGCTTGCTTTTTGGCTTGGTCACTGAACATTTTGATCCCACTCTATTAGTCCTAAGACTATTTCAGAAAGGGCGCTAGTAGTGTCTCTGTAGAACCTGAGACACAGAGAGAGAAATGAGTAAAACAGGTACTTACATCAGGGTACTCTTTGACAGGCACAAACAGTTTTTCCTGCAGGTGGACGATGGGTCCCAAAGCCTCAGGTAGCTCCAGGGGGTGTCTTTCCACAAGGCCATTCACTGAATCACTGTACATGTCTTTACGCACTCTGTTGATCTCTGAAACACACAAAAAAGTAAAGTACGTTTAGCAAATGAATAAAAACAACACTACAATTGCACTTCTTTATTTTTGTATTTGATAAATCACTGTGATATTGATTTTGACTTCTGGGCGAAGGCTTAATGTAGAAGATAAATCTTTGTTGTAAAACAAATGAAAGAAAAAACAACAGATATGTGTCAACTGCCTTTAGTGCTGTATGTTTTTATCAAAAAACTGTTGTGTTTTATTGTTTTTGGAAATAAAGTTGACAAAAACATTATCACAGACCATAAGTGCAAACATGTATGACAACAATGTCTCATAATACCATAATACCTGCAGGAAATATCTTTTTTTCAAATTGTTCAGACCCAAACCGCAAATGTTTTAATGTATATGACATAGAAATATGTTAAGTGTTGCACTATTGAGGGGTTAAGGCCACAGTCTTTCCTTTCTACCTGGGATTCCTCAGTGGCTGTTGTCTAATAGAGCCGCGTATGCCAGTGGCTGGGCAGGTGGGAAGATAAGACAATCGGGTATATTCCTTCAGATCTGATCCCCCCCGTCAGATTAATCTGATGGTCCTCTGTCCCAGTCACAAACACGCTCACCTCTAATTCACAAGGAACCCATTTCAGCACACACAAATTCACATGACAGAAGAAAGCTGTGCCTTACAGACTGAAAACACCTCTTAATTCATTCTTCCTCTGTGTCTGTATGAGTGTAATGAAAAAAAGTGATGTGGTCACACTTTCTTGTCATTACTTTAAGGGTTAATTTTTGTGATTGGACAGTGAGCTCAGTCCTTGGACATGTACACAACATGCTCTCATGAGCACACTCAATGACAGCTACATAGGGAGGGTCTGGTTTCTCCCAGTGGTCCTAGGGCCTAGTCTGACCAAGACAGATGGGTCTGTTGTCAGTGAGTTTGTGAAAGAGTAATTGCGACAGATGGAAGAGGAAGGACTGAGCAAATCTATGTGTCGCAATGAAGCAACAGCACAAAACATTACCGTTAAGATCATTTCTGTTATTAGGAAAAGTGTTAGATCAATTCACAACTGTAGTAAAAATTTCTTAGAAACAATTTTTGCTGAACCTTGAAGCTTTCAGCAGTAAGGGCAGGAGAAGAGTGATTTTGAAACAAGGCATTTTTAAAGATGGTTTAAAGTTTGAGGGGGAAACAGCTGAAACAGAATGGCAGGGCTAGTGAAGCATCGAGAGATCATGTGTCTGGTGTGGAGTGGGAGCAGGTGTTAGACACTATTTCCATCTTTCATGGGACTTCCAGCCAGTTGGGTGCTCTATATAAAAACTCGAGCTAGGGAACCTGACACTCAACTAAAGATGCCCGCAGTAAAGCATGCCTGACCTGCAAGGTTTATCCTTGCCCTGAAACAAATATAGAAGGGGGTCAAACATAATAAAGTTTAAGTGTAGTAGTTGGCTTTGTTTTAACTATTTAACAAATTAAAAGATATTAGAAAAACTCCTGGATGTAGGAATGGAATTAGTTGCAAAACGTTCTTGTTGAGCTGAAAATAGGTTTTCACTGGACGCTACTGACGATAAGACACGTGTGATTTATGCACTCACGGACACTGACAAGCATACACACAAACATCTGGCCTGCATATGCAGGGAAAACACCTGCGAGACACATTGGAACCACACAAACAGCTAAGGAGACTTGGCCCAGTGTGACTCACATGATTTTACCACTCTGTAGTCATCACAGATTCTCCTAGTCCTCCCTAAACATAAATTCATCCTTGTGGTATCGAGCCCAGCTGACAGATTACATCACTTCTAACCAACACCAGCAGCTTCAGGCCACATTCAAGCTTTGTACAGGAAAAGAGAAACTTGGCAGTGACAAGTAAAAACAGGGAGGAGGCAAGGAGAGACAAACACAGAGAGTCGAGCTAATACTGGAAAACATGATTGCTTACAAATAAATATTGGGGGGAAAAAGGAAAGCATGAGATTTATATGTGTTAATATATAGTATGCAAAGTCTATGTATTTAAGATCATCAATCCTTCAGATGACAAGAGAAAATAAAAAGTGTGCACGTGTGGTGATGCAGCTCAACCACCACCAGCAGCACCCCTCCTCCTTCCAATTCTATTTCCTGTTGCTGAAATGCCACATTAACATAAGGGGGCCGTGCTGGGCCATCAGTGGAGACGTGCAGCATTTGACAACCCCGAATTTAAGCGTGCCAAGTCTTTTGTGCTGCGCTGCGCTCACCTAAAAATTACCCCCTGCCTTGCATGACCGACAAAATCATTTGTCTAGCTGTCCATCCTGGTAGAATGGGCTGATTTTGTAAGAAAGGCAGGGTGGAGGGAGAGGAAGGAGGAGTATCTTCGCAAGAAAAAGATAAAAAGACAAAAGAAAACAGGGTCCTCTATCAATGAGGACTTTTCTTCAACTCTGACATTAGAAAAAATCAGGATTACATACTGCCAATACACAAGGTTGAGACAATTTGAATAAGGATTCATGGGGAAGTGGTCTCAGACCTTTGGACACCACTGTGTGTGCTTTAACAGCTAAACAAGGAGCAGTAACAGATCCCCGGTTACTGCCCTTCAGCCATCTCTCCGCTCAATGCCAGTGTGTCCATCCACAATCTGACTCAGCAAACCACAAACACACACTCACACACACAACCTGCCAGGGCTGTCTATTTACTGGTGGGGCGGCTGCACACTCAGACACAATGGAAGAGATAATAATATCTGTTTAGTTTTTCTGTCAGGACGAAACAAAAATCAACCTTGAGAGTCGTTTGCGGGCAGAGTGGAGGAAGGTTTGCTCGCTGAGACAAAGACAGAGGAAAGAGGAAGAATTATAACCACAGTGCTGAGCAAGCAGAGTGCAGCTGTATTCCTCTCGAAACACACACCTCTTTTCTGCCTCAATTTAAGATAACATGTATTTTTTTGTGTCTCTCAACTTCAGCCCTTTCTTTTCAAGTTCTACAGTAAAAAATAAATAAAATGGCACAGGCCATGGCTGCCTATCTGTCTGCCCTTTGTACGATCTTGGCAGTGCGGAGACATGAGTATTGAAAGGGCAGGATGTGGGAGAGGAGAATGGCAGTTGGAGGGGTTTGAGAGGCAGTGGACTGAGGGGTATGGGAGAGATGGTGGCTGCAAGTTTAAGAGCAAAGAATCAAAGAGGGGTCTGGTGGGTGGATTTTGTTTGTGAATAGTCATTCTTGACCTTGTGAACAGGAAAAACAAAATAGCCTGAACTCAATTTTCACTCACTTCCCTTTTCTGGATTATTTCAAGGTCCTCGCTTACTGGATGAGGTTTTTTTTAGTTGTTACCATGTGAGCTCAATACTTTGGTCATATGATGAGAACTGAGAGCCAGCTCCATCTACTGAGGAAGATACTGTTAAAGCTCTGGAAAGTCAGTGAGAGGTTGTGTTGGTCAAATTTATGAAAATGCATTATAATCGGTGCCATGATTAAAAAGGTTAATATGATCAAATTAAACTTTAAGAATAAAAGATAGCCATACGTATATTTTACCTGAATTCCACTCATATAATCATTGCCTGTAGATAAAGGAAAACAAATAAGCAAAAACCATGACAACATCTACTCATCTGAATGAGTGATATTTGACAGGAAATCAGCAACCATAGGAGGGAGAGGCTTTTCATTTATTAAACCCAGCTTGATGTGAAAAACAATGATGACACAGAGACAGCAGTGCTGGCAGCACAGTTCAGGAGTGGCTGAAATGAGGGGAGAAAAAGCGAAAGACGAAAGAATGGCCAAATGTGGTGGGAATATTTTCTAATGTTGCAGCCTCTCTGATCTAACATGATCTAATGAATGTAAACACGGCATGAGGACAAACACGGAGGGAGGGGTGGAGAAGAGAGGGGAGGAGAGATCAAAGACAGATTGAAGAGATAAACCACAGAGGGAAAGAAAGAACGAGAACAGGGCATTATTAAAAACAATGAAGAAGTCCAGAAGGAGATGCAGTTATCAGGTTTAAGACTGGTCGAGATCATTCAGTCAGGCCTGCTCTGTTAGAGAATGAGAACGAGTCCATTAAGAGACCAAAAATAGACCTGCTCCATAACTGCTTTGTCCTCACCCGGTAGCGCACACTAAAACGTCCTCTGACCAAATCTGTCCATGTATGTGTGTGTGTGTGTGTGTGAGAGAGGGAGAGTAGAAGAAATGTAAAGGGTGAGTAATCAGAGTGATCAGAATTGCCTGAGGAAAGCAGCTTTAGATGCCTTCTGATGCCTGCTATAAGCCTGATGATATCTGGCACCTGAGTCTAACACCAATTAATATTAAAGCCAGAATTATCATATGTCCGACTCTGCGGAGAGACTCAATGGATCTTCCTTGTTTAGTGTGATTTGACATCAAACACCTACAGTGCGATCTATATTTTCCTGCTTGCACAAGCATGCATGTTTAATTAATGATTTAAACAGGTGAAATGGTAAATGGTCTATATTTGTATAACGCTTTTCTATGCTTGAAAACCACTGCGCTTTACAGTACTGTAGCATTTTGCCATTCACCCATTCACACACCCATTCATACAGTGCATGTATGGGCAGAATTTGTATTTTTCAAACAGGGGCATAGAACTGCATAGACGGCTGTACACCCTCAGCCACTGCCACCCACCCTCAAAAAAATTACTAGGAAGCTGAGGTAAATATAGGCATGAGAAATGTGGTGGTCATGTCTGAAACACTGGAGCAATCACACATAGACCTAAATGTGCTGGAGCTGAGTGAAACAAGACGCAGGCGAGGAACAAGCCTTTTCACTTTAAAGCTGTGCACTTTTAGCAATCACAAAGCCTGGGTACCCATTGCAAGTGAAAGGATTTGGACGTTTAATGCATTCCTGCCCTTTATTCATGGCACAGACAACTTTATCCAAGACGACACTCCACTTCAACAGTTAAGGGGTTCTGGGCAGGCCAAGCATATGAAAGACAGGGGT